AATAAATATATTTATATCTTTAAAATATCTTCTAAAAATAATAGAAAATTTTATTAATCATTTAAATATCAGCCTTTCTTAAGATAATTTTATATAATTATTTATATCTTATATCTATCATTCTATGATATTAGGCCAATATTTTTATGATTATATAAACTATTAACTAATTTCTTAACCAATTTATTAATATTTTTTTTTTGCATTTCTTCTGCATATTGGCTTTCTATAATAAAAAATTTCAACTTGTGTATGAAGAGTATACTCATATAAAGCTTTCTAAAAGTTTATTAGTTTTAAGATTATTGAAAATAAATCTAGCACTTTTAATTTTATATTTATTCTATTTTGATTCAAGTTTGATTTCAGAACAATTGAAATATGAGAAGCTACTAATATCAGTAAGATTATCTAATAAATTTTAATTAGTATATATATTAAAATTAATATTATAAAAAGTATTTTAAAATTTTTATTAAATTTAAATATGATATAATTTAATACTAAATAAAAATAATTACCTTAATCAAGTTCTTGTAATGCATGTATTGACAAGTTATTATTATTAATATACTAATCTGAAAGTAAGTGATATAGTTGTAGTTAAATAATTAGATCTCTAAATATTGATTTTGGTATTATATTTTCTATACGGTTATCTATTCTTCTATCAGCTAAGTATCTTAATATTTGTTAAGTATTAACTTGTTTTAACAAGTTAAGTTCAAGATTTTTTTTGTTTGTATGTAGTACAATTAACTTGAAAATTCTATGCACTATTTTTTTTGTACCAACTGCTGTATTAGTATATGTTGCATATTGGTATGTATTATCTACTATATGTCAACTTATATAAAGGTTAGAAAGATTTTGAAAACTATCTAGAAATAACTTAAATATAGTATATCATTAATAATATTATTATTAAAAATCAAAAATAATAACATATAATGATAAATAAAGGAAATTAATTTTTGTACCCCCCAAATTTGATATTTATACCTCCCTAGAAATTTAAAAGATTTTTAAATTTTGAACGAAGATATCTCGACAACTACCTGATCATATTCGATGAAAATTTTTTAGTTCAAATTCTACAGTTTCATAGAATTCAAACAAAAAAATTTTTGTCGAATTTGGTCAGGCAGTTATCAAGATAACTTCACTCAAAGTTAGTAAATAATTCAAAACATTTATAAAATAGAAGCTGCGCTATATTTTTTTTAAAACTTTGAGCGAAGTTATCTTGACAACCACCTGACAAAAATTAATGAATTCTTTTTTGTTTGAATTCTATGAATCTCTAGAATTTGAATAAAAAAATTTTTATTAAATTTGGTCAGGTGGTTTCAAAATATCTTCGCTCAAAGTTAGTAAATAATTTAAACATCTATCAAAATAGAAGCTGCGCTAAATTTTTTTTTAAAACTTTGAGCAAAAATATCTTGATAACCACCCAACTAAATTCAATGAAATTTTTTTTTTTGTTCGATTCTATAGATCCATAGAATACAAATAAAAAAATTTTTATTGAGTTTGGTCAGGTGATTGTCGAGATATCTTTGCTCAAAGTTTTAAAAAAAATTTGGCGCAGCTTCTATTTGATAGACGTTTTGAATTGTTTACTAACTTTGAGTGAAGATATCTCGACAACTGCCTGACCAATTTCGACGAAATTTTTTTTGTTTGAATTCTATAGATCTGTAGAATTTGAACTAAAAAATTTTCATCGAATTTAATAGGTTAGTTGTCAAGATATCTTCGTTCAAAATTTAAAAATCTTTTAAATTTCTAGGGGGGTATGAATATCAAATTTGGGGGGTACAAAAATTAATTCCCTATTATTTATTTATCTTGCTATAAATTTTTTATATTTATTACTAACAAGTCACTGAAAATATATGTTCAAATTTGCTTTAACAATTTTTTTTTTTAAAAAAAAAAATAAACTTATTTAATAATAAGTTTATATAACATTTAAACCTTTGCTATATCAATCTCTTTATTTCTACTTGTTTATCCCTAATATATTAGAATAAACTAGTACATTTTTAATTCAAAGTATTATTTGAAACATTTGTGCACAAACTATGTCTAGTTTTGTTTGTTTTTCGTGCTTTACGCTTGGGAATTTCTTTAGGATCATTTTCTTTATTTGCACCAATTCTTTGTTTAATGTTTGCTTTTCTTCGTTTCACAGATTCAAATTGAACTCGAATTCTTGTTTCATTTTTAATACATGCTAAAGAATCCAGGTTATGATTATAAAGAAAGGTGGTTACTCGTCCAATTAATAATAATTTGGTAGCTTTGTATCGTTCAGCAAACTTATCAAATACTATTCGTAATTGTGAGCTACAGTTTTTATAATCACTTTTGATTTCTTTTAAAAAATTATTAAATAACAACTCATCAAATTCTGTTTGTTGATCCTCTATTTCACTAAATAATATTGTAGTTTTTAGTATAAATTTTATTCTTTATATGTAATACAATAAATATATAAATTAATAGTAATAGTATGTAAAATTTACAAAAATATAGCAGTAGTATGTAAAATTTATAAAAGAATAAAGATAATGATAACTTAATATATATAAAAACAAACCTAAATTCGTTACTTGCTCTAATCCTACTTTCAGCTATTATTATATTATCATTATATAAATCTTCATTTCTAATTTCATTGTTATTTATAGTATCACATTAATTAATTAAAGCAGGATTTGGGCGTAATGATGCATAAAAAGAACGATCTTTCATATTAAGTCCTTAAAAAAAAAAACAATTACTATAATGTTATATGTATATATATAGTAACTTTAATTATACTGATACTAACCACTTGCAATATATGAAAAAATCATGTGATCATCAGAAGTTAATGAAGGTAAAAAGTTGATAATCCTGATATGATATTTCATTACGACAGCACCTTGGTGCTTACATGGAGCACCTGTTAATCCAATAAAACAATTGCATGTTCCAATAGCACTATTTACAGTATAAACAAGCTCTGATTCTTTTTTTGTACTTGGTACTAGATATTCATCTATATTTTCTAGCTGATAAATTGAATCTTTATTGACAGTTTCCCAACTAGGATACAAGAATCTCTTTGCAATTTCCATATGATTGGGATGTCGATGTGCAAATCCATATAGATGACATTCATAAAATCATTCCATGTTCTTAGTAATAAAATAAAATACTTGAACATAATTAAAAGCTCGAGTTCTTGCGAATATAATGTCTTTAAGCAAACCTAAGTCATGTTCTATATAGTTATTTGTATAATTACCACGTAACAGTAAATTTAATTAAAAATAATGTGCCCAATATTGTCAGCGATTCCAAAGATACTCATAATGTTTTGCGAGTAATGGATATTAATGATAATAAGTGTTTTTTAATTCTTAATAATATTTATTAAGATCAGTTTCTGTACGTGCATACAAAATTTTTTTCATTTAATTCATAATAATTATGCGATGCTCTTTGTTAATGCCATGTTTTGAGCTATATTGCCAGTGCCAGAATGCCTGTAATACATAAAATGTACATAAAAACAGATTGAATTGTGGCCAACATAGTTTTAATGCATTTCGTTCTGCAGTAGAATCATCAGTTAAAATATTTTGAGGCCCAACTTCACATCCACGACCGAAAAATGCATGTTCAGGAAGAATTAATTTTAAGAGATTAATAGCTTTTTCAATTGTGGTTGCAAGTTTATCAGATGTAATAAATAGTCCCAATGGCAATACACCTGCTATACAGCTTGTATACAAAAGTATTATTGGCATATTTAAGGGTTCAAATGATGCAGATGTATCTACATAACAAATTTCTTCTGCTTCACGAATTTTCTTATGCACCCAATTCATTAATCCTGTAATAATACACAATATAAAGGCTTTCCCATTTGGGAGTCATATTCTTGAAGAATTGCACGCCCATAACCTGATGCATTATAATTTACAACCTCCTCACTTAGACATTGAAACATTGATGCCCCGTTTTGTCTACCAAGCTGAGAATTCCAATACTGTTCAAAAAGATGCAACACATAGGTATAATCAGGATGAATCGCACGATTAGCAAGAATTTCAGCAAGATTTTCATTCGATGAAGCTGAAAGATGCAATTCATCTTCATGAGTATATAAAGCAGATACGGGTGAGTAACCATCATGAAACATTTGTATAAATTTGTTACGTATTTCTTCATGTACACGTCTAAAGCTAAGCGACTCAGCTGAATTTATAATATGATTATGTTTAAAGCAAAGCTTAACCTCCAAAGAATGACTAGTAGTTAAATGCTGACATTCTAATCATAAAGACAAGGTTGCTGCACAATCTGTATTTCTATTATGTAATGATTCTGGATACTTTCGTTCAAGGTCACCTTGTTTGTTTCTAACCATTTGGCTATGAATGCAATGTCTTAATTCTCTAAAAATGACTCGCTTGCCTTTAACCCCATACCTTTTGTCCGCGGCATCATCATTTTTGAGTATTCTTCAAAGACAAAAAACCATACTTTTATATCATCCACAGTTGAAATATTAACAAACATATCAACCTCAAATTGCTATATTTCAAAGCTCTCATAAGTATAGTATGGCAGCAATTTTATAAGATGTTGAATCATGTAACTATAATTAGAAGGAAAAATATCTCCCAAAAAAATTAGCAAACAATGCCAATAAAATATCTAAAAAATATACCATTAATTATTATTTTTATTATGAAAAAAATTTGTATTACTCGTTAATTCAATTTACCTCACAAGAATTTTCATCGTCTGTATTATTACGATTCGTAGTGTCTTGAATTACTTCACAAGAATCACTATCCAATTCATTATGGTTAATCTTTATAATCATGAAGCAAAAAATACAAGGATTAGACAAATTATTAGTAACAGGTAATGAGAGACAAGCATGTACAACTTTAACTTACCTCAGTGTTCATATCAACAACTATGGTATTAGAAACATTCATTTGAGTTGTAACATTTGTAAACGTATCGTCCATGAATGTGTCACTTTGGTGACTTGTAAGTGAATCCTATGTATGATTTGTAAGCGAATCTGATATATGATTTGTAAGTGCATCCCACGTATTATTTGTAAATATCTCACATGTATGATTTGTAAGCGTATTTTCATATAGTTCATAAACGCATTTTTCTTAAAATTTGTATTTTCTATAAGATTCGTGAATGTATTGTCCATGCAACTAGGAAACGCATTGTTCATACAACTGAGAAATGCATTGTCTATGCAACTAGGGAACGCATTTTCCATAAGATTTGTGAATGTATTGTCTATGCAACTGGGGAACGCACTGTCCATGCAATTGGAGAATGCATTTTCTATATAATACGTAAATGTGTTTCTCCTTAGATTAATCATGAACATATCCTTATCCTCATCTGTATAATTCATGAATGCAAGGTTATATGTTCGTAAATATGAAGTTAACGTCTGTTATTATTAATATGAATAATATGTAAGTTACTATATATTCAAGCAAGAATTTCTTATCAGTTATATATTAATAACTTACGTATGAAGCTTGAGTCTCTTTTTTTTTTTCTATTGTTTGTCGTTGAGTCTCTCTTTTTTTTTTTAATTGTTCGTTCGTTTCGTCATTAAGTCTTTTTTTTTTTTTTTCTATTGTTTGTCGTTGAGTCTCTTTTTTTTTTTTTTGATTGTTCGTTTGTTTCATCATTGAGTTTCTTTTTTTTTTTTGTTCTGATTGTTCGTTCATTTTATCGTTGAGTCTCTTTTTTTTTTTTTTTGATTGTTCGTGTTGATTTTTTTTTTTTTTTTTTGATTATCGTTGAGTCTCTCTTTTTTTTTTGATTGTTCGTCATTAAGTCTTTTTTTTTTTTTGTTTTTTTTTTGTTTGTTTGTCGTTTCCAACTGCCGTACACTCTTGACTTTATTACTCAGAGATTGTAATGTATTACTATAGGTTTGATATACTCGAAGGTTTGTATATATAAATTATTTATGCACCTGCTATTCTTCTTTTATCATACTTTTTTCTAACATCAGACCTCTTCTTTATTCCCAACCTCCACTAAACTTTACCTTTCTAACAACAGACCTCTTGTGATATTTATTAGACACCAGTTTATCGAGGGTAATAAGGTAAAAGTTTATTCGCACAGATCGAACCCCATATTTATTTATTTTCTAGTACGCACAATTACATTACTTATTATAAATTACTATTGTTCTGTATAAATTATATACTATAAATTACTATTGATCTATTGATACGTATAATTTATATACTATAAATTACTACAAATTATTATCGTTATAAATTATAAATTATATACTATAAATTACTTATACTACATAGCGAACTAGCAATTTTATTAATTATGATATACCCCTGCAAACCTAACCCCAGCACTAAATAAACGATTATCTACTTTGCATAATTATTTGTATAATTATTTGGTTACACTACATGGATTGACATAACCTGGCACAGAATGTTTAAGTGCATATAATTTATACATGTTATAAGTCATATTAGTATAAGACAAAGGTCACTATGGCAGATTGTATATAGGTATTCTCAAGATAACCAGGTGAGTCAAGGCTTAAAAAATTAGATATTAGATAGTATATAGCTAATTAATACTGTTTTCAATTAGAAAACAAATCTAAATAAAATCGTAGTATGATTGCTAAATTTTAAAAAAAATAATAGCAAGATAAGAATAGCATATAGTCAGAGAGTTTAAATAAAAAATTTTCAAATAATTTAAAGTATAGTAGCTAATGCAGAACCTTTAAGTGAACTACTTAAATTAGATAATCTAAAGTTGTATGTGTGGCTAGTTGTACTCTTATATATGTAATCATTGCTCAAAACTATCTATACAAATAAAAATCTTGCTGATAGCATGTTTATAAAGTAAAAAAAAAAAAAAAAAAAAAAAAAAAATCTCAAAATAAATATGATATATTTAGATTATTTTCAAAGCAAAATTACAAAAAATATTAATATATTGAAAGTAAGTATGAAAAAAAAATTGAGTAAAAAGAAATTTATTGATAAAGATTTTGAAAGAATAGTTGAGGATGATTTGGAGAATAATAAGACAGCAATTGGAGATGCAGCAGCTACATAAATTTTATTAAAATATACGAAAAATTCATTTTTTGAATTGTAATTATTATTTATTTATCTATATTAAATAAAAATTTTAATTTAACATTAAATATTGTTGCGATATTACTATTGTATTACCGAATTACTCAATATTCTATAAAATATTAATTTACTATGACGTGCTTACGAAGTTTAATAAATTTTTAATATTTGCTTATTATCAAAATTCGTGTATTTCATTGGTCGAAATTTATTGTAAAACGTATAAAAAAAAAATTGTTATCAATTGTGTAACAATCGGGTGACTCAGGTTATAATTTCCTAATTTGGGACGGTCTCATGAAATCTAAGGCACGTTTATGTTGAAAAGGGTTCACATTAACGTTAACAGAGGAACTTTCCATTACTGATAAGTTGTTATTTAACCAGTTTCCAAATTAAACTAATATTATTGAACGTACTGCACTATTCTAAATTTGTATTGAAGTTAGCCTTATATATATAGTGACTTCTACCGCAGCTAAATTTACACATGTAATATATAAGTTAAAAAAGTTGATACGTACTAACAGTACCGTTGTATCACGAGCTTATGTGTTACTAGTTCCCAGGAAGGAAGGAACCGATTTAATAATTTATGTTGCTTTACACAGTGACCAGGTCCTGGGACACAGTCCCAGCACGATCACAAGAACGAGGCCTATTATAACTGATAAAAATTATATTATAATATGCAGTCACGATCCTTTTGTTTATGGGACCGTCGTAAAATCAGCTGAGGTAACCATATCTTATCTGTCAATTATTCACCTTAAAAAGGTGGTCGAGTTTTATTTAAATAACTTTTTTTATCAGATTCTTATTTTCAAATTTACGAAATCACTATTACTAGTACAAATCATGTCTATGCCATCCGAATCTAATGATGAACGATCCTTGTTTCTTCAAATCCCTGCTTCAAATTCGGATGATTCCATGTTACTTCCAAACCACAAAATTAGAAGGCAAATAGCCCTAGACAGGATTATTAACAAAATAGGAATGGGAAAATTTCAAAAGCAATTGTTGGTTCGTTTGTATTAAATTAACTATCCCCTTTATTATTATATTGCGTCAACCTACATTAAATAATTTTTTTTTCTTTTTTTAGTTGTTATGTGGGTTAGGATGGCTCGCTGATAATGTAAGTATATTTTTTAATTTTATAATTACCATTAAATTTCAAATTCTTAATCAATCCTTTATTTTTTTTTTTAGATGTGGCTTCAGGTATTTTATATTTATTTATAATTATGTTTTTTTTTGGTATAATTTAAATAATAATAAATATAAATATTTTTTTAGTGCATAGTAGTTATATTACCAAGAGTCAAAGGTACGGTATCTTTTTTAAAATCTTAATTTTCAAAAATATGATTAAAATGTTTTCATCTTAAATTATTTCTCATTAAAACGAATAGTACATTATGATGTGAATGAAAAGTTTATTGGCATATTGTCTAGTTCTGTATTTACAGGCATGACGATAGGAGCTTTGTTTTGGGGTGTATTATCTGACTCTTATGGTCGTAAAAAGGCCTTTAATTATACCTTACTTTTTACCGCCTTTTTTGG